TTTAGGGGTTTAGGGGTTCAGCAGTTCTGACATTGATTTTTCTGGTTAAGAAACTTTCAGAAAACAACCCACCCGCCCATAGAATCCCACAACATTCGAACATAATATTTTTTGTTTCTATTTTCCATTAGTTAAGAAAGAAAGAAACGAATTTTCACTTTCTCGTGAATGTTATTGTCATAGATCGTCATTTATGCTTTGGGCAATGTGTCCAACGCGGCAGCAGCAACGCAGAGCTTGCAGTGATCGACGTCATTACGCAAGCAGCAAGAACGACACAACCGTTTGTTCCAAGAGCTATCACGGATCTATACTCTGGCAATCGGCAAGACGATGTGTGGGACTTCTTGGTTAAGTTACTCGACGACTGCGTCAGCTGCCATGATCTCTTTCGTGGACAAGAGCAGCCTTGCTTAGTTTGTCAACATTGTGGCTATACCAAGTTCTTGGTGCCCGAAGACTTCCCCTCTCTTCAGCTACCTGTTCTAACTCCAGGGCCTGTTCGTTCAGTGCAACAAGCTGTCAGTGATTAAATGTTCGGGCTGAACATGTTCAAGATGACATCTTGGACTGGACATGTCTGAACGCTGCGTGCATGGACAATGGGAAAGCTACGGATGAGCCAATCCATCAAATTCGCATGAATCGATGGCCTTCGGTACTTCTGCTTGTCCTGAAGAGGTGGGACCCGACACATGGACTTGAAGATCACGAGGTGTACTGCAACAATACCATCGCAGCTGAAGGCCTGGTGTACCGGTTGAGGTCAGTGGTAGCCCACATTGGGAACACAGCTATGTCAGGACACTATGTGGCATATCCTTCGTAGCGGCAAGTGTGACACCAGTCTTGGACGAAGACGATCCAGAGGACCCGGATTGCGTGTTCATCAGGTTGGCTTGCTTTTGACCGGCGCGTTGCCGATAGAGGTTCTGCATATGTGGTGGCTTCGCGAGTTAAACTCCGTATTCGCCTGCATTCAATCGGCCCTGTGCGCCGCACGGATTGGCTGCCCGTCGGCGACAGTGGTGATGAGCAACTGCAGCCCTCCGTGCTCAGCGAGAGCCTTGATTCGGAGGACCGAGGTCCGGATTGCTGCTCCGATTCGGAGACGCTTACAGAGCCAGACTGCGATCCTTCTAGTGGGAGCTCTTTGCGAACATCCAGTCAACATGTCTGCTATGCGCATAACTTTTAGCAGTTTCCGATGTTGAAGGTTGTCGCCTTCTCGAACTGAAACCCAAGCACCGTCGCTGCAAAAACGATTGCGTCATGGCTCAGTTGCTTCCACAGAATAGATTATCGGCGCAATTGCTCACATATATTCTTCCTCAGACCAAACCCCACTCCACCCTCGAACCAGATAGACCTTGGACTTTTTTCTGACCTTGACTACTCTTTATGACCTTTGCCCCGGTTAGGACCTTGACCAAAAAATATGACCTTGACCACTGTCTTTATGACCTTGACAATTTTCTTATGCCACTTGTCCGGTTTAGGACCTTAACCGAAAAAAATGACCTTGACCACTGTTTTTATGACCTTGACCACTTTTTTTGACTTTTGCCCGGTTTAGGACCTTAACCGAAAAAACTGACCTTGACCACTGTTTTTATGACCTTGACCACTTTGTTATGACTTTTGCCCGGTTTAGGACCTTAACCGAAAAAACTGACCTTGACCACTGTTCTTATGTCCTTGATCATTTTTTATATGACCCTGGCCACTTTTTTGTGACCTTGCCCACTTTTTTTAGGACTTTGGCCTTGCGACAAAACTCATAACAAAGTGGTCAAGGTCATAAAGTTATTGGACAAGGTCGGCCCTAAACCCTATACAGCCAGGATTTGGAGGCCTAAATCCTGGCTTTAGACTTTGACCGACACAATTGTGACCGTGACCACTTTTTTTATGACCTTGGCCACTTTTTTTTATGACCTTGACCACCGATTGTGTGACCTTGACCATTTTTTTGACCTTGACCAAAGACTAATTAACATGTATATTATATATGAAAGAGACGTTTAGGGTTTAGAGTTTAGGGTTTAAGGGCTTAGGGTTTAGGGTTTATGGGTTTAGGGTTTAGAGTTTAGGGTCTAGGGTTTAAGGCTTTAGGGTTTAGGGAGGGCGTTTGGGGCTTCTGAGGATTAAGGTGGAAGTTGTGTTTTTTCTTTTGCTGTGGCCCCGCCGGGTCTTTTTAGACCCAATGTAGTACACCAGACATTTTTTGTTATTGGCTCGCCGGGTTCGGCAGGTCTCGGCGCCCAACGGCGCACAACAAAAAGAAAAACACTTTGCACACCCGGGAGCGACGGCAAAAAAGTTCTAGAAACCAATGACACGGGGCCTGAGCAAAAAAGGGCCGCAACCAAAAAGAAACACCGTGACCTAATTAAGGCTGGAGTTTGGGGTTTCATATTCCTAGACCCCAAACCTTTCAATGATCCCTTAGCCGAACTCCCAAAAGGGAGTCCTAAAGCTTCATAAGGCCTAAACCCTAAACCCCTATGAAGCCCTGAAAAGCCCACTACAACAGAAACCCTCAACGGAAGCCTCAAACGAAGCTTTACAGGAACCCTTGCAGTTTCATAGGGAAGCCCTCAAAGCGCAAAAAAAAAGCAGAAGCCTGTAAAGGAATCCTTGACTCGGTTTCAGAACGAAGCCCTTGCGACCCCTTTTTGCAACGAAAACTTAACGGCACCATAAACGGAACCCTTTTAAGTTATGAAGCCCCATGGTCCTTTCATACCCAAACCCCCTATAGATCCCTTTTCGGTTCTTTTTAAGGAACGCACTTTGAGGACGCCTGTTAAGCTACTGGGTCCCATGATCGGTTTCAGTAGCCGTAGCAACACCCTTGAAAAAACAAATATGGATCCCTCGTAAGGGGCCCTCATTAACGGAACCCTGAAAGGAACCCGATAATAAATCGAACCCTAAACCCTAAACCCTAAACCCTAAACCCTAAACCCTAAACCCTAAACCCTAAACCCATACAGCCAGACAGAAACCTGAAGGCTATACCATGAATTTTTCTGCAGAGCATGTCCAAAGCCAGAAAGGCACCGCCATAGCCAGTTGTGGTTTCTCCGTTTCTGCGCCAGCCAGCAAACATGGTTCAGTTGCGTTGTCGCCCGTGTGGTTGTATTTCACCCTAAACCCTAAACCCTAAAGCCTCAACCCTACACCCTAAACCAGACACCCTACACCCTAAACCCGACACCCTAAACCCTAAATCCTCCACCTTATAAGCCCTAAACCCTACACCCTACACCCTAAACCCTCCACACCTAAACCCTAAACCCTACACCCTAAACCCTCCACCTTATAAGCCCTACACCCTAAACCGTGGCAGGCGAAAGTCGGATTCCTGCTCGACGAGGTAACAGTTGACAGGATCGAGGAGACCCCCGGCCTTCCCCCAGATCCCTGAATTTAGGGTTTAGCGTTTAGGGTTTAGGGTTTAGGGTTTAGGACTTAGGGTTTAGGTTTCGGGCCCTTATTCAGGGTTTAGGGTTTCGGGTTTAGGGCCCTTATAAGGCTTTAGGGTTTCGGGTTTAGGGCCCTTAATTCGGGTTTAGGGTTTAGGTTTTAAGGCCCTTACTTAGGAACAAAAAGGCTTCCTCAAAGGGCTCCTTAGAGGGTTTTATAGGGGGATCTTCAGGAGTGTAGGGTTTAGGGTCTTTGATTAAGGAGCATACCGTAAATGATAGTAGATTCCTGACAGTAATTAAGGGATTCTGACAGGATCGAGGAGACCGCCGATTTGTTGATTGATGCCTTAGGGGACAAGGTTTCAGGGTTGATGATTCATGATGCTTTGAAGGGTTTAGGGCTTTGGGTTCAAAGGTATTGGGTATAGGGATATCGGGCTTATCAAGCCCAAACCGAAATGCATCGTAAACCCGAAAACCCTCCGCCCTAAACATCCCGGAGGACGTCAAATGTCATGTAATGTAGCGTCTTGTACCAGAGCGAGCTGTAAAGTAATGCACTATGATTAGCTGAATGCAGTATCATGCAATCGGTTGTAGCGTTATGTCGTGTAGTACCCTGTTCTAAAGCACCGATGCGACATCACGTAACTTAATGGTAGAGTGCAATCAAGCCACATACCAGGATACGCAAAACCGTAAGCCCGAAACCCTAAACCCTCAACCCTCAACCCTAAACCCTAAACCCCTAAACCTTAAATCCAAATCGTACAAAGCACGATTGAATCTAGGAGGAGCCTCTATCCAAGATCCAGACTGAAACCAGCCCTGAACTCCAAAGCCCAAGCCCTAAGTCCCAGGCCCGAAACCCTAAACCCTAAACCCTAAACCCTAAACCCTAAACCCTAAACCCTAAACCCTAAACCCTAAACCCCAAACCCCAAACCCTAAACCGCCCGCAAGCCCTCTAAGCCCTAGGTGCGTGAGCATAGCTGTGGCGGCAGACGCTGGTTGATCGAGGCTGTTTTGTTCAAGAAAAAAGAGCCCGAGGGGCTTGGGAATCGTCTGAAGCCTGTAAGCCGTTCAGCTTGTTAGGCCATATATTCGATAGTCCCATCACTTCATTGTGCCAATTCTCCAAGGGGTGTTCTTGATCGGGATCCTCCTTTTACTTTGGGTTGTAGCTCACGTAGGTTATCAGCCGTAGCTAGCTCTAGGACTAGGCCTGTAAGGTAGGGTCCGTAGATAGCTAAGACCGGGTGTTTAAGGAAATAGGGTTACGTAACCACCTCGTTCTTTGAGTTGGGCCATGGATCCTCTGGTTCGAAGTCGGAGGGGACAAGGTGCAAAGGATGTTGAAGAGGTCAGTGCGGCCACAGAGCAGGAGTATAGAGCAGCCTTGAGCCAAGCGGGGGTCAGTATGACTCCTGTCATGGGTACCAGTGCGGTTTCCCTGAATGGCGTGTCTCCGGGGGAAGCCTCCCCTGGGACTTTAGAATCCGGCGAGGCTATTGGCCAAGCTTCGCAACCTTCTTTGCCTCTTGCCCATCCCTTTCACAGTGATCGAATCAGGGCAGAGGTTGAACTCATGAGAAGCCGGCCTGCGACTTTGGATGCAGACGCATCCCGTCTAGGACTGGAACCCGAAGAAGGCGCGCTCGGGGCAGCTGGAGGTCAGTTTCCCAATGAGCCGAATTATCAGGGTCTTCTGGGATTGGAAGCAGAGATGAAAGGGACACCAAGGGTGGCCCGAGTGGAGCCAGCTTTGGACAAGGTGGGCCAGGGCTCGCAGCAGGGCGACTCACCGACTGGGAAGACTGGATCGGGCGATAAAGATATCGGCGCAGTTGGGCCGTCTGAAGGGCGGGGACTAGAAGCCGTGGGGAATCTGGTTGTAGGGGACGAGTTGAGTCAGGAACCCTACGATGACTCGCGGGAATTGATACCTGCTGAACTGGACAAACTAGGGAAGATGGAGAACATGTTGCTGCAAGTGATGGAGGAGAATAAAAGCTTGAAGCGACGACTGGAACATGAGTCTCGGTCTCACTCGTCATGGCACAGTGGAGCTGCTTTTGACCAGGCTTTTTCCCCAGCAACGTTCGGCCCTAGAAGTGGTCTGGATGTACAGCCTTTTCTGACTGCCGATTTCCCGGGTCAGGGACCAGGTGATGTAAGTGAGGTAAGGTTAGCAGGGTTTGAAGGTCGGGCGGGAATCTTTCCAGGAGGTCCTCACTCTTGGTCAGGGTTCAGGGCGGAAGGACCTTGGGCTGCGACTATGGTTCCAGGTTATCCACCGGCAAGGTGTGGAGTTTTTCTTTCGGGGTTTGGGGAGGCCCAGGTAGGGAATCGTGCGGCTCCCCCACCCCCTTTGCCATTGCCTCCTGCGCCAACCTTCGAGCCCAGTAGTGAACCTGAAGCTCCCCAAACCATGAGGCAGTTTACCGAGGGAGTTCGGGGCACTGGTCAGGGTTTTCATACTCCTAGAGGGATGGGAGATGGGAACTTAAGGGTGAATAACGAGGGATACCCGCTCTCGCCTGGCGGTACGGTGATCCGCCCGCCTCCGATTCCGCCGGCAACTTGGCCGAGTGCGTCCCGGTCTTTGACAGGTGCGCCTGGGGTCGAAGGGCTAGAGAGGTTCGGGGTTTCGGGTGTAGGCGGGGGTGCGGGGGAGACTTCTAAACCTGAGGAGCCTGCCAAGTATATCTCCGAAATCCCTAAGCTTTCGCCCGCGGATTTATCCAATAGTGCTATTGTGTGCGGCAATTGGATAGCTCAGGTGCGTCAGATATTTGCGGGGTTGTCGCCAACGGCAGATTGCTGGTTCGGGGCAGTGGAAAGGGCGGCTAGTCAGGGTTATAACAAATGGCTGACCGCGGACCCGCTAGGAAGGTTGTCTTTAGATCCTGGGTCCATAACTGCGGTCTACGACCTGGTAAAGTACCAGAGGGTTGAGAGTCGTGCGGTTAGCTTGTTGTTGGCTTCCCTTCCCGCGGCAGTGAAAGAGGATATCATCATGAATCGGTGGTTGTCTTCGGCTTCTATACTTTTCAGAATACTTTGCCTGTATCAGCCTGGGGGTTCGTCGGAAAGGGCCCATTTGTTGAGTCAGCTTGTCACTCCGGAAGTTTGCAAGGGGTTTCCCGATATGGTAAGAGTTTTGCGTAAGTGGCAGCAGAGCTTGCAACGCGCTGCCGAAGTGGGCGCAGCCCTTCCCGATGCCAGCCTACTCCTAAAGGGGGTGGACGGGGCTACAGCTTCACTCTTGAGTACGAGCCCCATGGTAGCTTTTCGTGTGAACTCGTATCGTCATAGCATTGCCCTGGATTATAATCCTACGGTGTCGGGGGTTACTCAGCTAGTAAGGTTGCTGCAGGCCGAAAGTGAAGCAGTAGCCCTGGTGGAGAACTCTACGACGGGGGATAAAAGGACTAGGGCGGCGTCGGCAGCCGTGGTCAAAGAACCCCCCGTAGTGAAGCCGCCTCCCCCGCCTCCCCCTTCCGGGACTTCACCAGGGATGAGTGTATCCGCAGTGAATGCGGATGGAGGTTCGGATAGGAAGGGAAAGGGAAAGGGGAAGACGGCAGAGGGGACTCCTCCTTTGTGCTTCAAGTTTGTGGACGGTACCGGGTGTAAGTTCGGTGACGCGTGTATGTTTAAGCATGATAGGGCTAAGGCCAGGAAGGAGGCCAGGTGTTTGGCTTGTGGGCAGGAGGGGCATTTCAGACCTGAATGCCCACTGGTACCGCCTGAGAACCGACCGGTCGCTAGTGAGTCTGAGGGTTCACCAGTAGCGGGGAAGGGCCAGGGTAAGGCTAAGGCTAAGGCAAAAGCGAAATCAGGGGCGCAGGCTAAGGGGGTCATTGAGGAGGCTGGGACCTCTAGAAAGCTGCTACAGGTAATGCCGGGGTTTCCGCTGCAAGTGTTAGCCCTTCGATGAGTTCGGAAGCTTTAGTCGCAGAAGCGGCAAAGCTACTCAAAGGTGTTTCGTTGAGGGCGCTGACTGTCGATGTGGATGTATCCTGGGTAAGAAGCGCTCTAGCTAGCGCGTCAGACCCGGAATTCTGCCTTGTGGATAGCGGGGCGACGAACGCCCTCCGCCCTGCAGGGGACAAGGAGATTGAAGGGTGTAAGGTGATTAGGGTCGACTTGGCTTCTGGGGGTACGGACTTGAGGATTAATGATTTCGGTACCTTGTTGCATGTGGGGCCTTGCCAGGTGATACTTCCCGCGAGTTATCTAGTCGAGTTAGGCTACCTTATTTCCTGGAGGAAGAAGGGCTGCTGGATTAAGCACCCTAAAAGGGGTGGGCTGGATGTTAGGGTAGTTAAGGGATGCCCCCTCATTCCCAGGGATGTAGGGTTGAGGCTGCTCGAGGAGTACGAGGGGAGAAAGGCTGGAGCTCCTTTGTTAAGTAAGGCTGAAATCGATGACCTGAGCGGTTCGTTGAAACCCTCGGAAGCGCGAGGTTGGCTTAGGGCTAGAGTAGAGCAGTGTTCGGGTTCGGGTATTACGGATGTAGACCAGTTGGTGTTCTTGAGGGCTATCTTTCCGGAGGTGGGAACCAAGGTGTTGGCAAAGGCGTGTATGCCGCCTTTACAGGCAGATCATGCAGATTGGTCAGACCTCCCATGGAACCGGAGGCTCCGAAGATCCGTGGCCCGAGCGGACCCGGGGTCCGTGCTGTTAGCTGTTTCACCTTTTTCTGGCAGCTGGAAAGGGTTGGGAAGGGTGTTAACGGTTGCTAACTCTGAGAAGGGCCTAGGGTCTGGGTTGATCTTTCGGCTGTTGATGCGTTGGGCTTCTGCTGGAGTGATAGGAGGAGTTGTGAAGGGAGCCGAGGGACGTAGCCCGGAGCTGGAGGGCCCTGAGCAGATTACTGAGGAACGATTGGTCTTCATGCTGAGGTTCTTTCTGATTTTCGCTTGTGCGCAGGCTGCCAAAGAAGGGAAAGGTATAGTCCAGG